CCAAACCAGTCTGACAGTCATACTAACACCTTCCACTTCTTGTATTATTATTCGTGTAATATATTCTTTGTTATTTCTACTCTTGTGTTTCGTGTTGTTCTTCCTTGGTCCTAACCTTGGACCATAACAATGAAGTTGGCAAACAATATAACAGCAAAGCAGACGCAAGGGAAGCAATTAAAACTACTATGTCGGAAATTGAACCTGCTGAAGCAAAAAATTAAAAAAAATAACAAAAAACAATGGACAATAGATTACTGGGTTTTATTGAGAAGTAGGGAGGGTCACAATATTAAAATGCAAAGGATTCAAAAACTTATATGTATTTGTTATTCGTTCTATTACACGTGAAGATCAATTTTTGATATTTTTATTATCTTTTTATTGAAGCAAAATGTGATTATTTGGTTTTGCCTAATAACTTCAGAAGGCAGTTTTATGGAATACGTCAAATAACTTCCATAACTGCAATAAAACATATTGTATTGTCTAAAATTTTAACTCAGGCTTTGTTTTAACTTTTAAATTGATTGTCTAAAATTTGACATATTTTTCAAACCAAATTTGAGTTATTAAAGTTTATATGATTTGATTAATAACTTCACACTGGGTATATATATATATATATATATATATATATATATATATATATATATATATATATATGATACAATATGGAAATCCGTATGGAATTTGCAGGAGGATATAGATCCAGAAAAAGCTCTATGTCAAAAGTCAGAGCAAAATTATTATTAAAGAATATTAAACACTTAAAATTCCATAGATAATAATTTTTATTTCATGATAGCTCTAAAAAACATCAGCTCTTAATCTTCAAGACCTACAAACAAATCACAAATGAAATGGAAAAAATATTCCGGCTTAAAAACAAGAGATATTGCTATCTTATTTATCAGGTCATTCCATAAGTTCTGTCCGAATTTTGAATAAAGAAAACAAGTGACCAAATGTTACATTTAATTACAGATTCAATCAACAATGTATTTTCCCTGATTATCTATGACTTCCTTCCATCTATTAACAAAGCTTACTAATTCCATTAATGTAAAATTCTTTTGGCTTTGATTCGAAGAACTCACAAATGTCAGTTTTAACCTCTTCCTGTGTTACAAAATCTGTTTCTTCCAAATGATTCTGTAAGTTACGAAACAAATGGTAGTCTGAAGGAGCAATATCGAGAGAATAAGGTGGATAAGGAATTTTCTCCCAACCAAGTTCTTCGATCTTTTGTGACGTGATTCTTGCTGTGTGGGGTCGCGCATTGTCCTGATGAAACATCACCCCTTTTCGATTCACTAGAGCAGGTCTTTTTTTCCTCAAAGCTTGGTTCAAACGCTCTAATTGCTGACAGTATATTTGAGCATTAATTCTTGCATTAGGTAGTGAGAATTCAAAGTGGATTATTCCTTGGCGATCCCACCAGTTTGAAAGAAGAACATTTGCCCATGAAGTTCCTTTCTCGGCTGTGGCTGGGGTCCTTCCCCTTTACCAAGCCACTGTCTATGACGCTTAAAATTTCGATAAAAGATCCATTTTTCGTCGCCAGTCACAAGTCTATTCAAAAAAGGTGAAACAAGTTGGCGAGAATGGAGAGAAGAGCAGATGTCAACTCAGGATTTGAGGTTGTTTTCAGACAATTCATGAGGCACCCATTTTCCAAGTTTAAGAACTTTTCCAAGTTGTTGAAGATGACGATGAACAGTTGTATGGTTTGAACTGAGAACCACTGCCAATTCCTCAACTGCTTAAAGCAGGATTTTCTTCATGGGCTTCTTCAAGAAGCTTTTCATCAAACTCAACTGGACGTCCGGTTCGAGCTTCATCTTCAAGGGCGAAATCTCCACCTCTGAATTTTGCAAACCATCTTCTGCAAGTTCTTTCATTCACACATTCCTCTCCATAAACTGAGTGAATGTTTCTAGCCGCTTCGGCTGCTGAGTTTCCTTTCTTGAACTCAAAAAGCATTATGTGCCTCAAATGATTCTTGGGTACTTCCATGTTAACAGGGTTTTGATCAAACAAAATTTAATTTTATTATTTTCTGAAATAAAATTTGATCAGTTTAAATGCATCTAAACATAAAAATAATGATCAGCTCTATTAGACATTATAAAATACTCTTTAAATTTCGTTCATTTTAACAAAAAGTTAAAATTCGGACAGAATTTATGGGATGACCTGATAGAGAGTGGAAGAGGACAGAGAATGTTAACCTATTTTGATATACTGACCTCAATATGTTATTTAAGGATGATGAAAATGCTTAAAGTGTAGTTAGTTCAGTGTGAATTGGAATCAATCCCGTCTGCTTCTGTCAATGGTTAAAATTCCAATGCTGATATATTTCATTCAACAAATTATTTGTAAATAATATTAAAAGAGAACATTTTTAAAGATTTCGAAATTAGCAAAAAAAAAAAAAAAAAAAAAAATTCATAAGCTTTTTAAAGAAATTTAAATTAAAATACCTAAGAGATTTGAATGATTATTAATTATATTCAGAGAAACATATTTATAAAGGTTATATATCTAGAGTCTTGAACTTTTATATCTTAGATGTATTTATTAATATTTAGCAGGATATGAATTTACTTTAAATTAAAGAAAAGTTAGATTGGGGTTAATCCCCTAGGGTATATTTATTAAGTTTATGAGTTTAGTTAAAGACGTATTCCATAATAATTTAAAGGAGACCCGTTTAACCCGATTACCGTCTAGAATCCAACTTGGTCAAAACAAATACATACACACACACACACACACACACACACATATATATATATATATATATATATATATATATATATATATATATATATATATATATATATATATATATATATATATATATATATATATATATATATATATATTAGAGAGAACTCAGTAAGAGTTCCACCACGGAATATGTGAGCGATCGGCGCTATATTGAGAAATTCCCTAATAATTTCTATTTCTGATTTGCAATCTCTTCGTCACCGAGGCCCGTTGGAACAGTTGGTATGATGTTTGCTTGACAACCTAACTGTCAGGGTTTCAATTCTCGGTAGAGGATGAGCACTGCTGATGAGTCCCAAATATAGAATATAGGACGAAACGGCCATCCAGTGCTTTCTGCATTCTGTTGAGGTTTCTTTCAGACTCAATGAATTACTTAATATATGTATATATATATATATATATATTCTTTCTTCATCCGTAATACATACACTGCAACAAGGATAGTCATAATGGGCATATCACTAGTATGAAGAAGTAACCAACATTTACGTCTAAAAACAGAAAAAGGAAAGACATATGGTTCAACCCACCCTTCTACAAACTTTCCAATATTAATATAGGTCATGTATTATTTAAACATATATTGTTAAATATAACAGAAAATGAATGTCTATCATGACTGATCATGAGCCGTTGTAAAGTTCGTATGTTTGTTTTAATTTCGGGTGAAAATTAACAAAATCACTCCGTCCTAAAATTTACATTAGAACTTAATATTAATAATAAAACTCCTTTCCTTGATGTATTTATTGATTCCAATACACATAAATTTACTATTTCTCTATATAGAAAACCGAAAGCATTAACTCCTGTCTTCTTAATTGTAATAGTGAATGCCCCCAGCGAAATAACTTAGCTGTTATAAAAAAAACAAAAAAAAAACGAACACAAATCACATCTTCCAAAATCATATTCTGTAAAGAATTACATAATATTAAACAAACACTAATAATGGATTCCCTAATTCCGTCATTGATCAACAAATTAAAATGTATCTGAATAAACTTTATAATACCTCTAACTAAATTGACAATTTTAATAATAACAGGGTATTTCAAAATAAACTTAACACTATTAATTTATGCTATTGTAACCAAATGCATAATAATTACAAACATGATGAACAACACTCATAAACATAATATGTAGAAATATTAAATCCATTAATAATAATAAACAAGTTCATCATATGTTATAAAAAATTTAAAACAATTTGCCTCAGAGTCTCTAATAACCCTATAACTACACAATTAAATCCTCTACAAAAAACCAATGTAGCATATTTACATGCTCGTTCAGACATTGTATCTCTGATACTAATAATAGACCCACTACATGTATTGGTTTTACTACAACCTCGCTCTCCCGTAGACTCACCTATCACCTTTCTGATCTTAGTTCTATTAAACAACATTTCTTAGAAAAAAACATGGCCATGTACATAATATTAGAGAGATATTAGTTGATAACACAATAATACTCACACATACACAGCAAAAATAACCTTCAGATATTGGAGGTCATTTACATTAAAACGGGCAACCCACACTCAACAAAATTACATTTCAAACTAGTCACAACACATTACCTTGCATCTAGACATTTGGTTCTGTTGTTAATATTTCGGCCTCTCGCGTGGTATGACGTCATAGAATCGCACTTGGAACTTACGACATGCGTCTGGTATTCCGCGACCGTTATCGTCGCATAGCAACATAACAAAATATCATCTTCGATGCTGAATATCTTTGTTTAAATGTCCGTATAACCCCTCTGAAGATGGCTCAAGTGAGTCGAAAGCTTATATCAAGGATTAACTTAATAAAAACATCCAAATGTTGGACAATTTTTGTTTTTATTTTAACCTGAAATTAAAGCAAACATACGTACTTTAGAACGGCTCATATCTATCTATCTATCTATCTATCTATCTATCTATCTATGAGTCTACTCATATATATCTATCTGACAGATGGAAAGAGAAAGAAAAAGAATATAGATGAATTTGGCTTGATTGCAAAAAAATATTTTAAAAGCATTGATACTACCAGCGTCTTTCGTTCATGCGCATGTGTAGTCATAACAAACTCAATAAACCCAGTCCAATTAAGTACTAACGGATGAAAGGCCTCAAAAGTAAACCCTTTCTATTTTGTCTTACAATTTCCTCACTATTATTTCTTGATATATAAAAATATATGTCGGTATTTCCTATCTATCTATCTATCTATCTATCTATCTATCTATCTATCTATCTATCTATCTGCTCATATCCATTGGCGTATTCATCTATTTTAAATTATTTTAAATTTGATCTTTCTGAAAGATGTTAATCCATTATATCATCTAATGGAAAATTGTTGGATGAAATCACTTTTATATAAACACACCTGGAGAGGGGTGGTCTACTTACCCAAAACACGCCACCCGAAATGAATACCTGTACATCTTCCATATCGAATCAGTTGTCGCACAAGTTTGTTACTTGGAAATTTATTTATACAGACACAGACAATGGCACGCAACCGAGATTTGTTTAAGGCAATGAGACTCTATGATCCACACTCGGTCATAGGATGATGCTGATGCTGATGCTGCTGCTGATGCTGATGATGATGCAATCCGGTTTTTTCGTTAGCTAAGAAAATCCTATGTAGTCATAATTTATAGTACATTAGATACAGTTCATTTCTCGAGTTATTTATTAATTCTTATCGCATTATACGAGATCTGATCAAAAAGTATCGGGACTATAAAAAGAAAACTAAAAGATGTATCAATTCGGCATTTAATCTCCATCGTAGCAGACCCCCTTCTGGAACCACGCAATTTATCCAACGGCGTTTCCATTGGTGGAAGCATTTATGGATGGAACGCCATTTTCAAGATAGCGAACAGTTGTCTCGTCGCATTCTTTTAGATTATATCAACGTCTTGAAATCTTGGAAACTGATTTTTGGAAAAGGGAAAAGTCGCAAGGCGCGAGAGCTAGCGAATAAAGTGGTTGTCGGACTTGGGGAATGTTGTTTTTAGTCAAAAGCTGCTGCACAAGCCATGATCATTGATGGAATCTCTGTGATATGGTGTAGCGAGTCGACTATACTCTGCTATAAACAAAGGAAGCGAGCGAGAGAACGTTGTAACTTAGTGCGCATCAGCGACAGATTTTTTGGTCAGCCTGTACCAAGCAGATTCATTCGGCGTACTCTAGATCTGTTACCATAGCAACAGCCCCGATTCGTTTTGATCAGATCTCGTATATATAACCTTATTATTAAAATATAGTTAGAAGTAACTTCAATTGCCGTTTATATTAGGCAAAAATATAGGTATTGGGCAACACACACAAAAAACTTGGTTCCCAAAAAAATTTCGCTTAAAGATGGAACAGAGCTTAGTACTTTAATTCAATTTAATTCAAATAATTATATTGAAGTTTTCGGCTCTTGTTTTGAAACATGAGAACCCTTATGTAGCGTTGGAATCATATTTTTAAATAAATAATTATATATATATATATATATTCGTCAAAATGGATGCATTTTTTTCGGTATATATATATATATATATATATATATATGTATATATATAATTGTCAAAATGGATGCATTGTTTTTCGGAAATGAAATTAAAAAAATATAAAAAAATAAGGGAATTATTCGATTTAAATGAAATTTTTGGCCCTTATTCAGCAATGAATGAATTGTATATTGAATTGGTTACTTTATTAGAAAACTATTTTTAAGGGGGTCAGTCCCCCCTCCATACAGACTACCACCACCATTTATAATTGGCGGGTGATGCCATATATATTTTATAGCTTTATAAAGAAAAAGCCCTGAAGGTATTATTTCAATAAAATAATTTTTCTGTATCAAATCAGAAAATCTTTAAAATAAAGTAAAAAACATATTTTTCTTGAGAGTTGGTGCTTCCATAATTTAATAAAACATTATTAATTTATTTCAGATTTGACAAGGAAAAAATCTACAATATTTATTTTTGAAAAAATTACTTGTAATCTTTCGGTATGATTTTGAAATTCTTTTGTTTACTGATGACAAAAGAGATATTTTTATTGAATAAAGATTTGTTTGAAACACTGAAAATATAAATTTTAATGTCATATTCTTATCAGAAATATTTTTTTAAATTTTATTTATTTTTTGCAGCTGTTATTTTATTTTATTTTATTTTTTTTTTTTACAGAGGATCAAATAATTAAACCATTCTGAATTATTTATACTTTTTAGATTGTGTTCGGACTGTTGTTCTCATCTTTCTTGTCATATTTACGACGTTTTCGGCCGTTTGGCTGGAATTTCGAACTGAACCCTTTATTTACTCCAAGGGAGTAGATTGTATAAATTCCACATGACATAACTTTCGATATCTCTGTTTCAGTTAATTTCTTTTGATTACTTTACTTCCCTCTTCTGTGGCCAAGTATTAAAATCACAACTCGTTGGGTCAAGTCACTTTTGGATTAATCAGCCAACACTATTATCCGCTAGTCTATGGGGACATCAGTGAGTGAATTTTGGGGAATTACTAACCTAATATCTCAGTATCATTTTTTACCCAAGCTCATATTACAATTTGTTGTTATTGTTGTTTTTCTCTAGCTCTCTCTATTACTGGGTGCCATATTGTATTCATCTCTATGCTTGGACGGCTTAGGAGATTTTTGTGGCATAGGAATAATAATTATATGTAATGTCTGAAAATGGTCTACAATATTTTCTGACACTTGTAGCTGAAAGAAAGCAAAGAGATAGCAATCAATAAACTATCAATTCAATTAGTCTATCTATTTCCCCCAGTTTGTTTTGGGGTTTTTTTTTCTTTTATAGCAGTAACCTTTTTTGTTTAACAAAAAATTAAAATTATTAAAAATAACATGATTTGGCGCAGTTAAATATTTGGGTTAAAAATTGAATGTAGAAGAGTTACCAAGTAGTAAAAATAAATGCAATGGATAAAAATATTAGGTCATTTTATTATTATCTTTCATATTTTTAGATTCCAATTGGCATAAAATTATTCGACTAAGTTTCATAAAAAAATAGTTAGCCCCCAGACATTTATTAATATGGCGTCTACTGCTTGGGCAACGTTGGTCAAAAAGGCCAATGGGATTGCTGCATGTGCATTTTTGATTTGCTTTTCTAAGGGCTGCCAATGCAATCGGGTTTCTGTGACGCTCAGCATCCTTTAGGGCTCTCCATAGTAAACAGTGTTAACGCAATTTGATAAAACTCGCAAAGACAAGTTTTTACTTTCCTGAAGTGTGCATACATTTTTTTTTGTCGGACTCTGAGTCCCAATGGGTAGAACATTCTCTTTCTGGCCATGAGACCAAGTGACAAGAAAAAAAAATAAAAAAAGAAACTGTAGTGATCTCTCAGCCAGATCCTCAGAAGGCCGTATATTGTGCTTCCCATGAATACGTGTGGTTGATATTGTTGTGTACCTTGGCAGTACTCTGTCATGTTTTGTCGTGATAGATAAGGAAATCAATCACAAATCTGCAAGAGCTGTTGATTCTGTTTGTTAAACTTTAAAAAGAAGACTCTGGTCACAATTAGATATTCACCGAGACACCAAAGATAAAGTTTACGAAGCATAGGTTACTGCAAATATTTTGTACTGTTGTGAGACATGGACAAATTTAAGCGTTCGGCGGCCCAGACACTATGGTCAAATTGTAGTATGTATTCCTTGGCTGTGACCAGCCATGTCCAGCTAAGACAAGCTTCGTGCCCGATCGCGTGTAAACGGGGGCTGGGTAAATTTGGACCAGTGGCCCGAATGTTCGCGCTCGGGTCCCCTACGTTAAATTACCGACCTTTTGTCACAACCTATGGAAGACATAAAATGTTTAGTTCATTTCCATTAGTGATGTTTCCGATCGATTATGATTATGAAAATCACTTGGGCTTCTTTCAAGCCCGACACTTAGGCACTCCAGCGAGCTGGTACCTATAGCATTGTGTCTAGGGTCATGGAGCCCCAAAGATGGCCTGTGCATTTGGCCCGCCTCGATGATATCAGGCTACTCAAGCAAGCTCTCTACGGGGAACTTGTGAGGGCAATTACTTGAAGCGTAAACCATATAATCGTTATAAGGATTGTTTAAAAGGTTCCAGGGAGTCCTTAATACTTCGGAACAATCAACCAGCGCGAGTGGCTATTGGCGGAACATCGATATGAAAGATGCTATGAAAGATTTTGGGAGGAGACGAATTTGTCATTCGAAGCTGAAACGAACTGCAAGGGAAAGAGAGATTGTTAGAATTAAGGGAATATTTAATTGTCAGATCTGTGATAGGGTCTGTTTAGCTAAGGATGGTTTTATCAGCCACAGCCGACACTATAAAAACCACTGCTAAGAGAGGAAATGAATTTGTCATTCAAAGATGATATGTACTGCATGAGAACAAGACATTGTTGGAATTAAGGGAATATTTAATTGTCAAATCTGTGATAAGGTCTGCTTATCTAAAGCTGCTTTTATAAGCCACCATGCAAACCACAGGTTTGAGAAGAAATGAATTTGTCATTCGGATATAAAATGTACTCCATGGGAAAGAGAGATTGTTAGAATTGAGGGAATATTTAATTGCGAAGGCTGTGATAGTATGCTTAACTTAGGCTGATCTCATCAACCATTGGCAGCACCACGCAGACCACAACGCTTTGTACAATTCCAATGTTCAGCAAGGCTTGACATACAATATCCGTGGTAAGGTGTGTAAATCAAGTGGGCTCACTCACCATTTCAAGAGGGCACATCCAAGTGAATATGATTTAAGCGGTAAACTCACGTACGCCGAATGCGTGTTGAAAAGAAAAAGCTCTTGTCGGGCTCAAAAGTCACTTAAGGGAACATCAAGGCAAAGAACTACTGAAGCTCTTACACAGAATGAAGAGACCTGGGTTTTGGGATGTGGTGAGCAGTAATTAGTTAGTGAATTAATTAGCGAGTAATTAGGCGTTCTGAACTCAAAGAAAGATGACGTGTTTTAAGTTTAACTAAAAATGTAAATATTACAGTTTTTTAAGTAATATAATAATTTAATATAATTTAATATAATTTGCAATTATTATTTATTTTATTTACTATACATATTATGATTATTATATTTATTTGAAGTTATATATGTATTGTTTATTATTATTGCTTTTAACTTTTTCCATAATTACCGGTTTTTTCTGTGTCAGCATTTATTGGTTTTTGCACTACTAACCCGGCAATCATTTGTCTTATTTTCACTTTCTGCTTTTTCTTACATCAAGATATATTTATTAACTTTGCATTTTCTACTCTGGTTCATTTTTATCAATTGATAGTTTAGTTGTTCAGTCAGAGAGTTATGTGCTATGCGTGATATACGTTTAGGCTATCATAGGCAGATTGTTTCTCGCAGTTGCCATTTCTTTCTGTGGTAAACCAGTTGCCATCCAAAGCTATAGAACCCGGTCTGTCCTGCAGATTTTTCCCCGCAGTAGGTTGCCATTTCTTTCTGTGGTAAACCAGTTGCCATCCAAAGCTATAGAACCCGGTCTGTTCTGCAGATTTTTTCCAGTTTGCCATCCAGAGCCATATCCAGAACCCGGTCTGTCCTGCAGATTTTTTCCGGCAGTTGGTAGACCAGTTGCTATCCGGTCTGTATTGCCGTTTACCCATAGCTGGGAGTAGAAGAAGCAGAAGTAGCGCGTAAGTGAATGTAATGGATTCGGCTGCAATTTGAACTCAATCCGAGTCGCTATCCACTGTGCCTCCATCGACCGTTGTTAGTAGTCTCAAAAAGGCAATATAAATTATTTTATTGTATGTTAAATAAGGTATTTTCGCTTAAATCCCGATATATATTTTCACTTTTTGTTTCTGTTATTTCTTTTGTAAAATTAACAAAGTTTTCGATATTTCTGTTTGTTTATTTATGTACTCTTTCGTAATTGAACTTGTTTTCTAGAGTTTTTGTTTACCAAACGTATTATAAATTAAAACAAAAAACGTTAATATTTTTTATAAGTTCTAAAACACGTAATGTATATAAAATGTTTATCTACGTACATTATATTCCAAAGGTTGTCATTGCTGGGGATGATAGTGGGGACAAACTCCGATTGTTTATAAAATGCATTTGTGGCATGCGTTTGAAATCAACATTGTCCAGCTTCAAGACGCAGAATGGATGAAAACAGAAAACTGGCGCCTCATATCCATCTGTTTCAGGGAGATGGAACTCGGCAGTCTAGGAAAGTAGTCAATCTAGGGGAAGGAACACTCTGATTTTAAACCTCCACTGCCTTGTGGTCATATCCGGCAATTCTTACAGCCAAGCCATTCTCAAGTGTAATGCCATGTATTCCTTTAGATCTTGTCGGTATGGCTGAGAGGTGGAGGTCCATGTAGTCTGGGTCATGCATGGCCTCCATATGCCATCGCCAGTGTAGGAGAATGTAAATTCTGGATTCAAACCATCTGCTGCCTTGTAGCTGTTTTGCCTCTTTAACTTCTGAAAAGAGAGACAGGGTAACTTCAACATCCCCGATGCTAAAGAAACTGGTAAGTCATTGTGCGATTCTGTCTTGAATGCCACCATGGGCCACAATTGTGAATTAGAGGGGAGTGGTGACCACAGTGGCACAAAATGCGCTGAATAAATGAATGAATAATGAGTAGTTGTTCCTCAAATAATCTTGTATAGTGCGCAGCTTAAAGAAGAGAAAATCTGTTAAAAAGTTGACACATCTTGAAGTCTAATTCGCGTTAGAAATTGTTCTGGGATCTGATGAAATGGAATATTTTGAATAAAAAACAAAAGCAAAAACAAAACCCTTGATAACGGCTAATGGACCGTTGCTTATGTAGTGCATTTGAACAGTTTTTACACACTTTATGCCCTAAAAAGGAAATACTTGTATAAATGCGAGAAAAATTTAATAAAAAATTTAATCGCAGTCAGTAGTCTTCAATGAAACTTGTATAAAACATGAATTGCTGAATATATATATATATATATATATTAAAATAACATATTTTTATTTATTGCTTAGTCGTTAATTTTAATGGATACCCATATTTGAGCAGATGCTCTGTTTTTATTTATCTATTAAACGGTATATTTGTTTCCATCTAACAGCCCCCCCTATATATATATATATATATATATGTATGTATGTATTATTACGTACCACCCTCTTTTACTGTTATGGTAGTGATTTTCCAAGCATAGCTAAGATGTGGCACAAGGCCGAAATTAGGTGGCACCCAGTGAGAATCGAACTCACTACTCAGTCGTAACTCTTTTAGCGAGACAAGCTTGCTAACCATTACACCACGCCGAGGTGCCCTTACTGTTATGGTAGTGATTTTCCAATCGTAGCTTAGATGTGGCACAAGGCCGAAAGTACGGGGCACCCTGTGAGAATCGAACTCACTACTCAGTCGTAATAGTTCTAGCGAGACAAGCTGTTTATATAGTATGTTACTGTTATGGTAGTAGTGGGAGGCACAGTAACATTTGATATATAATCAATTAAAAGCTTAAAATGTTCACTTGTTTGTTGATAAACTACATTTGCTTATTAAATGTAAATGTTTCGCAAATATATTTAGTAATAGTATATAGTAAGAGTATTTTGTATTTTTTTAGTAACAGTATATAATAACAGTATTTTGCATTTTTTAACCCTTTTGTATATAGTCTTAAGACTTTGACTAGGGGTCTACTTATAGCTCTGTTTTGTAACATTCAGCACTGTAGCACCTGAGGAAGAAATATATTTATACGTACGTACAAGTATATACGTACGTGTATTATATATATTTTTATCATATATATATATATATCATTTAAATCTATTTGAGTTATTTAATCTCAACATTTTAATTTCTCTTACTTTCTTTCTGTCTCAGTTTATCTATTTATTTATGTTATTTTCTTTCTTTTTTCTGATTCAGGCTGCCTCTGTGTATGTCCCGCCCTTTTTCTCCCCCTCTGTCACAGATTGTTCATATCTATCTATCTATCTATCTATCTATCTATCTATCTAAATCTGTTCGTGGCAATCTTTCTCTTCTTCTCTCTCCCTCTTTCTATAGTCTGTTTTCTTGTCTATTTCTCCGTCTGCCGTCTGTTCTCTCTCTCTCTCTCTCTCTCTCTCTCTCTATATATATATATATATATATATATATATATATATATATATAATATATATATTAAAGAAAAAAACAGACCACTTTAAGATTCCATTATAATAGTTTATTTCACCAGAGCCCTTTTAAAGGACGCCGGATCATCAGATAAAACTTTCAAAAGATGAAACGCAAAATGAAATGAAAATTGATGGGTAGTGTAAGTTTTTGTAATTTAACAGAGAGTATAATAAGGAGTGGTTAGAGAGACATGGTAGAGTTTAGGGAGGGTTTAATTTAATATTTCTCTCAATCATACTTAGTATTGGGGGAGGAGGAGTGACCAGACCGTAACGTATTTAAACGGTTAACTTAACGGAAGTGATATATTGAAATGGGAGGGGAGAAGAGAGAAAGATAAAAGGAAAAAGAAAGAAGTGGGAAGTAAAGAGAAAAAAGTTATAAATGGGTTTTACATAGGAAGGAGAGGGGTGGTAAGTTTTAGCAATTTATGTAAAAAGTAGATTTTAATGTTTGATAGTAATTTAGATGTCTAAAAAAATCCATGAAGAAATCAATTTGATGCTTGCTAGCAATTTAAATATTTAATTTTTTTTTACAAATAATTTAGGGATTTAATATAAGTTAAATACAGTATTTATAAACACATTCATAGAGAACACATTAAAAAAAAAGTTTTAAACTATGACAGTTTGTTTACCCGACCAATAGTATTCTTTTAATATTGTAAAAGACAGTTTCATCTTTATCAGTTTGAATCTAATTCATGAATATAATTTGTAATTATTTTTAGAAAGGGTAATGTTTCTTACTTAAAGTTTAGGATTATATATATATATATATATATATATATATATATATATATATATATATATATATATATGTATGTATATATATATATATATATATATTATTGAGCACTGTACGTTTTAGCTTTATTACTCGCTTGGATTTTTTCTTTGGACTAAAAACTTATGGCACTGGACGATTTATTTCGCCCTGTTCAGATGTTTCTAGTCCTTTCTTTTTCCAAATTTTCCTCAGGTACCAATTTGTTTTGATAGTTTTAAAGTTGTGCTATCCGAGGTTTTTTCAGTCGAGTATTACTAGTATATATATATATATATATATATATATATATATATATATATATATATATATATCCGAGTTGGAAGTCCAGTCGAGATTATTACATTCACTTACGTGCAAATAACTTGGGAAATGTGTGAATTCATCTCCCCGCCGCCAACTGTAGATAAATAGTACGTCATACTGGATCCTATAACCTTGTGTGGCGAACGGTCTAAGAGAAGGACAACTCTGAATTCAAAACCTACGGAGGGTCGTTTGAGGACATTGTGGTATACTATGTCTCTGTATACGGCTCTTTCAAAAATAGTGGTTGGTTTTGCACAAACCTTCACCATTATAATCAAATGATATTTGCGGATTATACTGGTTGTTGGTTCTAAGAACTGAGATGCTTGACCCTCATAAGTCGAAAAACGACTACAGAATCGAGAAACTCAGACACGGATTGAAAACTCAGCTACCCGACGATTGACACGTGCATGAAACTCAAACGATGAGAAACAAAATGTATATTTATTTATAGTATAAATTTAGCTTTGTTATTTTCCATCGAGTAGAGTTTTATTACCACCAACAATCACTGTGCACTGCTTTATGCACACACACACACAATTATATATATATATATATATATATATATATATATATATATATATATATATATATATATATATATAACTAGTCATTTCACGTGAATATATTTAGTCCTATCGGCATACATTTGTTTCAGTCGACAGTGAAACTGATAGCCAAACAGAACACGGTTCTATTTTTGTGTTTGGAGCGTCTCTTTATTGTTCGCGCTTTCCATTGCCAGACAAAGAGTTTTTCAGAAGCGGGAAGAGGAGAGAAGCCAGGCGGACAGGTTTGGGCAACGAGGTTGGTCAGGGAAGGGAGACGCGTCTCGTTTTTGTGGCTGTCTTCGATTAGCGCAAAGCGATGGTCCGTCCGCTCATATCAATATTTTATGCGGAAAGACAAATACACCAACGTGGCTGGACGTAGAAACATGAACTTTATTCGCAGAGGTGCCTGCAATAACTATATATATATATATATATATATATATAGGGACAAAAAGAAAACTTATCTTAATCGACGCTTTTCTGAGAGACTTTATCAAGGTTTGATAAAGTCCCTCAGAGGAAGCAACGCGTTGCCTAAGATAAGTTTTCCTTTTGTCTCTATTCATATTGTTCTTTCACATATATATTCCATTTCAAATTTTACGCACACACACACGCGTTTTTATATATATATATATACATATATATATGCTAAAATTATAGTTTGCATGTGTACTATATTTATATCAAAGTCACAGTGCATGCAAATATAAATATAATAGTGGACTAGGGATGAACATTAAGCGGCGATGGTCTGTTCCATGCTTGAACCCAATCATCAGGCAATTTGTTCCATTTATAACCACTGAATGCTACTTTATATATATATATATATATATATATATATATATATATATATATATATATATATAACTATTTAGATGTTTGGCTTGAATATTGCATACAACAGACTGTCGCTGCTTGGTGTTGACCGCCGTGCCTATATATATATATATATAAGCAAATATATGGATATATATATATATAAATCTATATATATATATATATATATATATATATATGAAAAAGTGTATATAAATATAAATAAATATATATATGTATAATTATTTATATATTATATGCGCGGTACTTATTAGAAAGCGATCAATATCAGAGATAGAGCTAACATATGTGGTTAGATAGATGTGAGTTTGTGACCCTGGGTTTCACGCTTTAGCGATCGTCAATAACATCAATACACGCAATCTACATAAACCCAAATTTAAAAAAATGAATCAGTTTGTCTGACGATCGCTAAAGCGTGAAACCCAGGGTCACAAACTCACATCTATCCAACGAAATATATATATATATATATATATATATATATATATATATATATCCGATTAATACAAATAAAAAAATTGTCACTTAGCTGATTGATGTTATATATTATTATGAGCTGTGATACAGCGAAACAGTCTGTCTGTGGATGACATATATATATATATATATATATATATATATATATATATATATATATATATATATATATATATATGTACGTCAGACAAAAGAATAAACCTCAAATACAAAAATATATATTTTAGAAACAAACACTAAATTTGTTTTAACAAAGAATAAAATAACATTATTTTATAGGATATCTTAAATTCAGTGAATATTTTCACACGCGCGCACGCATATACGCACGCAGACATTATTATTCATTTATTTATTTTAAAGGTTATATTTAGTGGATACACGTGTTTGAGTAGACGTCTCTGTTTTCCAACCGATATAAATCTGCATTTACCGACAGGTCTTGTGCACTACAGAGAATAATGAAAATTAAATCTTCCGGCAGCGTTCGAACACGCGTTCCCATCATTCTGGGAGCCACTATTTAGATGCGCGTGCTTTTAAACCACGAATATTTAGTTGCCCGATTTTAGAATTTTCTTTGATTTCATTTTCTTCCAGGTCCCAAACAGAGACCTAAGGTCAGAAATGACTGCATGAAATTTTCTCCTGATCATTTTTAAAAAAAAAAAAAAAATAATAATAATAATCTCACACACATTTTACATTATGTTGTATTTTTTTAAGGCTTGGCCTACAAGGAATCCTTTCAATGATTCTATCGGAACCTTTTCCAATCAATTCGAAGGCTCCAACTATAATAAATATATTAAAATCTGCAGGGTCTACCATATCAATAAGAAATTATTATTATTATTAATATTATTTGTATATTATCATTTTTCCAGAGTGCAATTTTAACTGCCTAATTATCAACTCCCCTCCAGGATATACGAGTGAAAGGACAAGGGAGGGGAGTTGTTTATGCCATTCAAGTTTCCTTGAGATGAAGAGGGTTTTGAGCATATATGTAGTTCCGCACAAAGTAATATTTTCTAGTTCCGTGTTGCTGATGTGTTTAGGAATTTTATTCACATGATTTTCGATACACTTCTTTACCCAATAGTCTTATCGATAATCGTAGTTTGAAGTTATCATCTTTTTGCTACCTCGATTCGCACGTCCTTATAATTTGACAATTTTCGAAATTCTTTTTCAGAAACATTATTATTTCGTACGCCTATAAAATATTTTATGCAAACTTTCAAATATCGTCTTATGTAATGACATACAGTGTAACCCAGATATAAGAGAAACCCGAATATAAGAGAGATTTTCTCTGGTCCCAAATTAGAGCCTGTGTTAATGTATATAAAATAGACCAAACCCGGATATAAGAGAAACCCGGATATAAGAGAAACCCGAATTTTAGTGCTGTATAGTGTTGTGGAGTTATTTCGCAGTGGAGGATTGTATTTGTACTGAGTCAGTCCTAAAATAGGGTAAACGTACAAAACGTTAGGAACTTAGTATTACGCAGAGTAATCTGGTCGTGGTCGCTGATACTTTCGTATTCGACTAACTGTCGTCCGACATCGACTGACTGACTCACTGACTGACTCCCTCGTTACTCTTACTATTCCTACTTATTATAGGTGGGAGAGTCTATTAACTATAGAATAGGTGTGTTCCACCATAACAATAGTATATTTCCATTATCTACAGAAATAAATTTTATGTCGATAGTTATAAGTGGTGTTCCCATAACTTGGACCGATTTTAAATGTGAATTAAGTTTAAGTGACTAATGATTTTTTTCTTTTTCTTTCAGAATTAGCGGACATTTGGACGATATAATTTTTTTACACATAATTGCTATGACTTAAATAACATGATCCAATAGAGAAATAAATAAATTTTCACTAATAACACTGATTTATTTACAGCTGACTTTGATCCATCTTAATGAAACATCCTTATATATAATCTGCCTTAATGAAACACCGTTTATATTGGTTGTTTGTGATGACATGATCAATGTATGCACAAACTGCCCTGAGTATCGACAAGTGACAAGTTAACCTACGAATGGTTGTGGTGGTGTTCTTCAGCAATGTAAAAATTTAATGTTTTTGATTATTGCTTGATTTTTGATTGACATATCACTAAACACAGCAAGATGGCTGACACACACACACACACACACATATATATATATATACATATATATATATATATTTATATATTTATATATGTATATATAGTAACGGCCATAATATAAGGAACGGAAACAACAAAGACATAAATATGTGTATTACTTAAAAAGTAATCCATGATTAGCAATGAAATTTTTACCGAATAAATATTAGGGTGTAATGCATAAATATTATACAAAGTTACAAAAATTTACATAATAGTTTTTTTTAAAAAAATAAAGATTAACTGGAACAAAGGAAATAAGCTACTGGACAAAAGTTAAGGAACGATCTTGTTAATACTTGATTGTGAACAAAATATCAACAAAATTTAATATTTGGTAAACATCCCCTTATTTTCAATGACTTCTCTGCATCGTCGATCACGCTACTGTATATAGTTCTTTGCCAGAATGCTACAGGTACATGCACACATATACATATACATGTACATGTGCGTGTCTGCATGTATAACAACCAGGAACTCGTCTGGAGAGACTAGAACGATAACCGTATAGATATGAACTGTGATATCTGATAAATTTATATGGGTAGACTGAAATAGAGTTAATAAAGTCACATATATAGATTGATAGATAAGGAAGAGTATCATATAGATACGAACCGAATGAGATAGATAGATAGATAGATAGAGATAGATAGATAGATATGATAGATGAGATATGAACAGTCTGATAGATAGATAGATAGATAGATAGATAGATAGATAGATAACGAAGAACCTTGGATAGAGAGATAGATGGATAGATAGATAAGAAGAACCTTTGATAGATAGATAGATAAATAGATAGATAAGAAAAACCTTAGAGAGATAGATAGATAGATAGATAGATAGATAGATAGATAGATAGATAGATAAGAAGAACCTTAGATAGATAGATAGATAGATAGATAGATAGATAGATAGATAGATAGATAGATAGACAGAACAAGGAGGAATTTAAATATGGTTGCTTGGGTGATTTTGTTTCGTGGCATACCAACACCTTTATGGGTTATTTAATGCCGAAATCTGAATATTTAACACGATTTAATGGTTTCGATTAAATAGAACAAATTGACAGAGATAGATACATAGATAGATACGAACTGACTGACATAGAAATATTTTGATATCGAAATATTCTAATATGCTGGCTCTGCACCCAAAACCGTTGTCTTTGCTGAGCACCCAGTCGTATTGTTTGAGTGAAAGGCGCACCTATCTCAGCCATCCAGCAACACCACGGAGGAATTAGTAAAACAGATTCAAAAAAAAATATTAATTGCCAAAGTAAAATAATTTCTTCTTTATTTATAACTACAGGGGGAGAAACAGTTGTTTAAAGCGAGGTAGGATCTCTCACAAAGATCCATATTTATATATGAGATGTATACAAAAAATAATTTTCATAAATAATTAAATGAAAGAATTAATAATAAACAAAAACGAAAGAAAAAATGAAAAAAGAATGAAACAAAGAAAAAAGAATCTATATATAAAATTCTCTGTTAGTTCGCCCGTCCGTCTGTCACACCTAAAATAGCCATGTATTGAGCTACCGAAACCAAATTTTGGGGAGAAGTGCAAACAGCTAAGTGGGTACAAAGTACAATTGGTTCTACTAGGGTACATAGCTTAGTACAACAAATTTTGATTAATTTTTAAAAAATTAAAAGTTTTATTATTTAACATACTTTAAAATACTCTCACTATTTTAAAAACAATTTAATGATTAAAATACAAATACGTATTTAATAAAAATGCAATATTATTTTCTATACAAGAATCCAGCTTCCAGTCCCACCTTGCATTTACGAGAACTATGAAAAAATCACAAAGCCAAATGCTTCAAAAGGTTGGAATTTAACTCCAAAAAGAAATATTTACGCATAGCTAGTTGTATGTTGCATGCTCAAGAGTAAGAAATCCCATGAATTTATACTTCGCGGTTAAAAAGGAAAAAAAAAAGAAATTTTCTTAAAAAAAAATATTGTTTATTATGAAGTCCTAAGATATTATATAAAATTAAGGAAATTATTAAGCCACGAAGTAGGGTTTTTGTCAAAGTATTTTTTTTAAAAAATCACCTTATTCAAATTACCGTGAGGATTTGAACACATGTCAGCGTGTTGCAAAAATTCTAGTGAAAGGAAAAAAGAAAGAAAAGAACGATAGAAATTAACAAAGAAAAGAGTTTAAATTAAAAAAAAAACGAGTAATAAAGGAAAAGAAGGTAAGAAAAAGAATGAAAAACCATGAAAGAAAGGAAAATAAAAAGAAAAGAAGAAAAAGAAATGAAAGAAAAAAAAGAATGAATGAAAGAAAGAAAAAAAATAAATACAAAAAGAAAGAAAGGAAGAACGAAAAATCAGCATAAAAAATGATAGTGTACGAAGAAAAAGGTAGACTTTGAACTATGTAAATAATTTATGTTCGACGTTGTAGACAAAGCAGTATGTACTTACAGTAACACCACATTGAAGCACCAGTTCCCGTACGATCACCGAAGTTAAGCAATGTCGAGCTTAGCAAGTACCTAGATGGGTGACCGCTTGACAATATCAGCTGCTGAAAACTTCTATATGCAGGTGGTGTAATAAATAATAGCACAGAATTGTTACTCGGAGAGCCAAGTTCCAATTCCGGTCGAGTTTGTTATGTTCACTTACGCGCGAATACTCGTTGCGAAAGACATGAATTCACCTCTTCTCCCCCCAGCTATGGGCTAATTAGTAAGACTTGTACCACTAAAACAATTATTATCTCCAAAGAAAAAATAGAATTGCGTACAAGGCATTAAATCGTCCTGAAAGGCTGATTAAACAAAAACAATCAACCAATCAAAATGGCATGTACTGAAACCAGAGGCTGTTCTCTAAAACGAAATCTATGATATCCTCGGCAAATTTAATGTCCAGATCAACCACTCTATCCAAATGAGAAAACCAAGAAAGAAGACCTAACAGCGTGTGAGGAGTCATTTTATCAGTGGGCCATAACATATAACACGAAAGACAATGACATATTGGAAAATATTGCTACCTTACCTAGGATCTTAGGAAACCCAAATATGTCGGTTAGGGTCGAGTCCATAACTGAAACATTTGGAATTTTACCAAACTGGTAGAATCGATTAATTATGTACAGTTGGACTAATATCTTTATTTTTTGTGTTATTATGAAAATGCATCGGCCGTTGTGCACAGCACCCGCCAGCTATGGTGTAAATAGTGGGAAAATTATCTGGAAAATCATATCTCCCAAAAATTGTTTATGCAAAATTCACTTTCTCTTTCTCAAAAAAAAAATCATTCTTACAAAATATGTTTCTACTTTAATTAACCCACAAAGAGTTTTTCTTTATGTGCCATGTCCCCTCAGGATGTGGGTGATCATGGCTCCCCACAACTTCCTGTTCATTGTAGCGCTTAATAAATTTTGTCTTTTTGCTATCACCCCTAAACTCTGTTTCGCCATCTATCTACTCAAGCTCCCTAAATATGTTATGCGTTGTTTTCCTCTGTCCCGCTTGCTTTCAAACTGTCCTGTGAGAATCATATTTTCCAAGGCTTCTTTCCTCATTATGTTTCCTAGAAATGTATTGAACACACACTCTTTGGGTCCTGTCACTGAATCTAAATAACGCCACTCAGCGGGGACATGAAACAGCCTGTCGCTTCTGAGTGTTGTCTTTAATGTTCACTTTTATATTTATATTTACATACGTTCTATCTCTGATATTGAGCACTTTATCCCATAAATATAGCACACCTTAAAACTATATTTCTTTATATATATATATATATATATATATATATATATATATATATATATAAAAAAAAGAGAGAGAGAAAGAGAGGAGAGAGATAGACAAGGATAGAGACAGACAGATAGATAGATAGATAGATAGATAGATAGATAGATAGATGAAGATTTTGAAGTCACAATCCAGAGATGATAGTCTTTTTCATACTTAAACGTAATGGCTTGACGATTGTCACCTTATTGTTGACTTTGATTGTCCACTTTTATATTTTCATACGCTCTATCTCTGATATTGAGCACATTAATCCGTACTGGTTTGTTTTTGAGATTTTGTAATTATCTTTTTAATTAAACTTGTCTTATTGTGCTCCATAGGGAGAGAAAAGTCAATAATAATAATTTTAAATATGTTCACTTCCTTTGTCTCTACTCTGATTTTCGGGGAACTAAATTCCCTCTTCAGGAGACTTGATGGTAAAATATACATTTAACCAGCATTTCTGTGGAATACCCACTCATGTCTATAAACCGAAATCCATTTCCATGGTACCATTCCGTTGCACTGAAACGGATATTGACACAAGAGTGGAGAATTCTTGCCTTTACTTACACAAATATAGATACACACATACAACATACGCTTATCTTCATACACATTTCCATCAATAAATCGGTTGCCTAAGGATGATATGTGCTTCTACAGAAGGATACTGAGAATTCCATAGACGGTGCGAGTAATCAACAAAGAAATCATAAAAAAAAAATGGCAACAAAAAGAATCCATACAGAGAATCAGGAAAAGGCAGCTGAAATTCCTTGGACATATGATAAGGAAGACGGGCTTGAAAAACTTTACCCTCAGAAGTTATATTAAGGACAAGAGTAATAGGGAAAGCCAATTTATCTAACAAGTTTGTTTGAATGAATAGAGGAACGGGCGGGGAGATCTTTAGCAAAGGAAGAAATATTGCTAAGAGTTACACGCGATAGGAAGTTGTGGAGAGCCTTGATCGCCTATGTCCTGAAGGGACGCGACACACAGAAGAAGAATGATGAATGATGGTTTACATGTTCGGTGGCTGGTAGTGTAACGGCTATCGGCTCTAAATGTGAATTCGGAGAGACAAGTTCAAATTCTAGCCGCGTCTATGATGTTCAACTTTATACTTGCTTACTGCTTAAGGCTGTCCACCATTGCTGACAACGACACTGTCCATCCATCTCCGTCCGTGTTTTGTGGGTTGCCAAATGAGATAGCAGCCCCATTCGCGAGCGACAAGTTGGCAAGTTGCAGATGACGCTGGTGTAGCCTTCCCTTGAACACTCCTTGTTTCTCCTCAAAGTGCGCCACTCCGGTGACGCAGAGAGACGGACAGCCGGTTCAATCCCTTGTGAGGTTCTCAAATTGTGTCAGGTTAATGTTGCAAGAGCACGCTTAAGATAGTCTCAGAATCGTTTCCTTGGGCCTCCACGTGTGCGGCTGTCGACCACGAGCTCTCCGAAGAATACAATTTTCGGGAGGTGATGGCACAACATCCGCACAACTTGTCCAACTCAACGTAGAAAGCGTTGTCGGATGGCTTCGACGCTGACGATTTCTGCACGCTGAAGAATTTCGGTGTGGGGGGATTTTATCTCTCCAAGTAACGTGCTGAAGGCAGCGGATGTGGAATGCCTCAAGCAGTTTTATTTGTCGGGGATACAGGGTCCTGCATTCACAGCCGTAGAGCAGTGTTGAAACAACAACAGCTCGATAGACATTGACTTTTGTGGTGAGTCGGATATTGCGATTAAAGAAGACCCGGAGGCAGAGACACCCGAAGGAAGTGGAGGCGAGGATTATCCGCCTGAGGATGTCTTCATCGATGTGTCCATTATCGGATATGACACTGCCGAGGTAGATGAATGTGTTAACGTTAGACAACGAGGCGTTGTCAATGTGCAGCTGAGCTGCTGGATCACGTCGTATAAACGCTGTTTGAATGACCTCTGTTTTGTTTGGGTTGATACCAAGACTAACGCGAGAATAGGTCTGATGCAATGAAGTCAAGGACTGTTGTAATGAGAATGCCTCATGGGAAACCATGTCGTCATCGTCGGCATATTGCAGTTCATAGACATGCATGGTAGAGGTAAGAGTCATGGCTTTGAGACATCGAGTGTTGAAAATGCTTCTGTGAAAGCGATATCGGATATATATTCTGTCGTTGAGTTCCCTATGTAATCGAGAGGGAAGAGTCACAGCAACCAGATAGAATTTGAAGAGTACAGGATCAAGAACACAGCCATGTTATAACTCCCGTATGCACACTGAACTGTTTTGATGAGGATCCTCTGGCGGATACTCTAGCGAACATAATCTCATGAAATTGGCGTAGAAGACTCAAAAAGCTCGGCGGACAGCCAAACAAAAGCAACAGAGTTTCCTGATTGATCACATCAAAGCATTTATTTAGGTTAACGAAAGCAAAATCGATCTCTCTTTGTTATTCCCTTCGTTTTTTCGAGTAGTAGACGAGTGACGAATATCATGCCGAGGGTACTACGTTCAGGTCTGGGGCCACATTGAGATTCCGGTAGAATTCGCTCAGTCAGCAAGAGAAGACGGCGAAGCATAATATCTTCGAGAATCTTCCCTGCCTAGGAGGGAAATGCCTCTGCTGTTGCCGCAGATGGAGCGATCATCTTTCTTCTTTTAAATGTTTCGTGTATTTCCAGCGCTTAGGGATCATTCTGCTTGTCCAGGACAGGTCAAAAAAGGAATGCAGATATGATGCAAAGTGCGGTCCGCAATACTTGTACACCTCTCCCGGGAGACCTCTTGTTTCATATGGAATTTATGGCGTTGTTTTCATCCGATGTCGGAACAGAGTCCAGCTCCGGGAGGCCCGGAAGAGTCGGAAGTTCGTCTAAAGCTGAAGAATTGATTAGCATGTCTCTGTTCAAAAGTTCCTTGAATTGCTCAGCCCATCGTGCTTGGATTTCTTCTTTTTCCTTGAGGAGAGTAGAAGCATTCCCGGAACAAACAGGTGCTATGGCTTTGCGAATCGGTCCGAAGATAAACCCCTGTACTTGTAACGGCATTCACCCGGGGTGGGTTGAGCCGGTTCCAATATTGGAGTTTCATGGGAATTTGGAATTCACAAGCGGTCCCCAACCCGCATGTATAGCACATGAGATTTGATTATAGTAGTGAAGGTTTCGTGCAGGACCATCCACACTTTTTGAATACAAAGACCTGGTGCACTACGTGCCACAAGGTCCCTAAACGGTCCTCCGCAGGTTTTGAATTCAGAGTTTTTCTTCTCCTAGACCAGCTGCCATCCATAGAACCCAGTCTGTCCTGCTATTTACCCATAGCTAGAGGGAGAAGAAGAGGATTCATACCTTTCCCAAGGGCATTAGCACGTAAGTGAATGTAATGGATTCGACTGGAATTCGAACACGGCTCTCCGATTCCTCAATCCAAGCCGCTATCCATTACTCCACCGAAGATACGATTAATGGAATCATAAAACTCATATATTTTGTTTTCGTCAGCAAAACGTTGAATTTCTTGAGATTTGCGGAACCACCAGTTGTTTTGAGCTTCAGAAAGCTTCCATTAAGCCTCTGCTCGTAAGTGGCGCCAGTTTTAGACGTGAGTACGTGAGAGTGGATGTGCAAGATGAACGTCGTGTGCTTGATTCTTTGCCTTTAGAAGTGGCTGGATAACTTCCACGGGTTCATCGAACCAATCCAAGCGTAGTTTCGGCGGATTGACGAATAGCTAGGATGGCGGAGTTCCATAGACTATCGATTTCCTGCTGATCAATAAAATCGGTGATTGACAGACATTTTGTAAATTTGCTTGAAGTTCGATTCACTTTGATTCTTGTTCAAGACAGGCAACATTGAGTTTAGAGGTGGCTTTGATTATGAAAACCGGAGACCGAAGCGAGAGATTCATACGAGAGCGAATCCTACGATGATCGGTCCAGCAGTTCGCTCCACGCATGACCCGAATTAGAAGGACATCTTTTAGATCGCGTTGACGGACGTTTACGTAATCCAACAGGTGTCACGTCCGAGAGCGCGGATGCATCCAAGACCACTTGTAAATACAAGTGTTCGAATGGGGGAAAATGGTATTGTTAATCACAAGCTGATGCTCGGCACAGGGTCTTTGAAGACGGAGTCCGTTATCATTCATTTTCCCAATATTCTATGAGCCAATGACTCCGGCCCAGACTGACGTGTTGGAGCCCACTCGGCTAATTAAAATCTCCAAAGATGATGATTTTTTCTGTCCGAGGTACCACTCGCAGGACTGTGTCGAGAGATTCGTAGAAGGCATCCTTTATCTTTTCGTCGCTATCCAGAGTTGGGGCATACACACTGAAAATGGTTGCGTAGACGTTATTGGAGAAAGGGATTCTGAGGGTCATTAGTCTTTGCTTTGCCCAGTCGGAACATAAGGGAGGTTCCTTAGAAGCGTTCATCAGACAGCGAGCCTAACACCGTGGACTCGACTTTCTCTGGATGGAAGACCTTTCCAGAAATATGTATATCCCTCGCCCTCCTCAGCTAGAGAACCTTCATCAAGGAATCTTGTTTCGCTGGGTGCAGCGATATCTATATTGTAGTGCTTGAGTTCAGATGCGATCAGCGCAGTTCTTCGGTGTGGTCTAATATGATCGGGGCATTCCAGTAGGGTTCGTATATTCCAGGTAACAAGAACAAAAGATTTCAATTTTCTTCGTCGACCGCAATAAGGGACGACCAACCAGGTACGGTTTCCTGGCCAGTTGGGTTGGAACCAGCATCTTTTAAAACATATTCTCCTCTTCATGTGAGGCAGGCGGTGCCCCTCCATGAAAATGGTCCACCTGGTCACGCAAGTAGGACATGAGACGATACGTAGTCCCGGGGCGCAACGCAACGGCCATCATGCTTTTGCCGCCCACTTGCAGGTTTCGAACTAAGGGCTGCCAACATCATCTTATGCTTGCCCTCGTCGCCCGTTTCCCGTTGTCCGTTGTCCGTTGCCCGACGCCGCAGGACTTTTTCAGTTTGCGCAGTCCTAGCCACACGCACTTAGTTCCCGGAAAGACGACTTCAGAGGCAAGAAGAGGACCCGAGTCGAACGATGGTCCGTCCGAGAGTTGCAGCGGGCTGTCGAAGTCCAGGTCTGGTTGGGTCTGCCTTGGTGAATGCCCACTAATGCATAAAGTGTGGCTACCGAGACGCTTCGATGGCATTTCCTACATCAGTGTTCCGCTACCTTTAGGTTAGCCGGATTACTTAACCGCCGCCCAGCGCTCGGAATTGCTTTGGTAAGATTGGTCTAAGCAGGGTCACCACATACAGGTTCCAGAGCGCCTACCCCGTAACTTTACACTAATGCTATTAACGTATTTCCAGTAGCATTAACCATTTAATCCATTTCGTCTCCAGTCCCATAATCTATAGATAAAATAGTGAGTAGACAGGGTGACTTAAGCTTGTTTGGCAGTCAGTCTAGGAGAAGGCAACAGTAATGCACTAACATATGCATATCAGGTGAGAATGGGTGTCATACCGTTGTGACAGAGAGAGTCTGGGAAACACACACACACACGTATATTTTTTAGTGAAATTGGAGTAGATTTGAACAGCGAATTAGATCAGAGCATTTTTGTTTACTGATGGTGAAACCTGATCTAGGGCAGAAGTTGTACCCATTGAATCTGGGTCATCAGAGGGCAAAGGAAATGGCCTAAATAATTTTTATTGATTAAAATTTGGAATAGAGCTGAGTAATCAATTAGGACCTTTAGAATTCACATGATTTTGGTTGAAACAGCCATAACCCCGTGATAATCGCGTGCGAAGTAGTAGGGCCAAGGGTCGGTTATGAACAGCCGGGTTTTACTATATAAACGCCTAGTTATGCTGAAGAAGAGGTAGACGGAGCAGACAGACAGAAGAGAATTAGCCCGGGCAAGAGTTGGTCCAGAGACAGTGGAGAGTCGAGTGGGGGACTCAAGAAAGAGAGAAAGTGACACCAGAGATTGGAACTGTACTGTTGATATAAGTACCGCTGCTTCTGCTACCACGACTATTACTACTACTGTTACTAGGAACGCCACTATAAACTTTAAGCCGCCTACAGAAATATTATTCCCCCATCGCAAGAGTCGTATATCGTTCTGAAACGATTTAACAAGTTAATAAAACACTCTCTCTGTGTCTAGAATCCAGTGTATGCGTTTCTACGTCAATTACTTTTCTTTTCTGTAAGCCGTTTCTTTTCTATACTATTCTTTTCTGCTATATAAAAGACATTACCAATTCAATCATTGAATAGTTGTTTGTCCGGCTTTGTGCAGATATTAATTTCTTTTTTTTTTTTTTGCTGCATTCTAAATTTCTTAGCGCAGACTCTCCAGTCGTGTCTACATCTTCAGTCAACCGTGAATGGATGAACATCACATGCTTTCTGGATCAAACCAAACATAACGTGGACAGGAAGCAGGATTAAAGCAGTGGACCGGTCGAATAATCTACGGATGCTCAGGGGACCTACGGTCATTCCCTTAAGTTCGTTTAGGACCGAGTAGACACCTCAAACCAGAGAGTAAGACGTCAGAGGTTGAGGAGCTGGGGCGAAATCCAGTGATTTTCAATCTGTGTACCGCGTTGTGTCACGAGAGGATCGTAGGTGTGCTGCAATGTTTTAAAGGATATTAAATTATTTTCGAAAGAATTTCAAAGCACATTAAGTTTACATAGAAATTTAAAACACCTTTAAATCTTACTTATTATAAAACGCAGATTGTGTGTCTATGTGTGTGTCTGTACGTTTATATATTGGATCGGATTTCCTACATTTTTCAACCGATTTCAACAAAACTTCACAGGACTGCGTAAAATTACCTTGCGGGGGTTCTGACAGCGCCCAAAATTGGAAAAACACAATTGTTTTTGCACGAATTCAATTTGAAAACACGATTAAGAGGCATCACGAGAATGAAAGGGGAACAACTCATATCGAGTTATACCTATTATAAAACCCAGGCTGTGTGTGTGCGTGTGTGTGTGTGTGTTCGTTTATATATGGGATCGGATTTCCTACATTTTTCAACCGATTTCAACAAAACTTCACAGGACTGCGTAAAATTACCTTGCGGGGTTCTGACAGCGCCCAAAATTGGAAAAACACAATTGTTTTTGCACGAATTCAATTGAAAACACGATTAAGAGGCATCACGAGAATGAAAGGGAAAATAACTCATATCGAGTTATACCTATTATAAAACCCAGGCTGTGTGTGTGTGTGTGTGTGTGTGTGTGTGTGTGTGTGTGTGTGTGTGTGTGTGTGTTCGTTTATATATGGGATCGGATTTCCTACATTTTTCAACCGATTTCAACAAAACTTCACAGGACTGCGTAAAATTACCTTGCGGTGGTTCTGACAGCGCCCAAAATTGGAAAAACACAATTGTTTTTGCACGAATTCAATTTGAAAACACGATTAAGAGGCATCACGAGAATGAAAGGGGAACAACTCATATCGAGTTATACCTATTATAAAACCCAGGCTGTGTGTGTGCGTGTGTGTGTGTGTGTGTGTGTGTGTGTGTGTGTGTGTGTGTGTGTTCGTTTATATATGGGATCGGATTTCCTACATTTTTCAACCGATTTCAACAAAACTTCACAGGACTGCGTAAAATTACCTTGCGGTGGTTCTGACAGCGCCCAAAATTGGAAAAAACACAATTGTTTTTGCACGAAATCAATTTGAAAACACGATTAAGAGGCATCACGTGAATGAAAGGGGGACAACTCATATCGAGTTATACCTATTATAAAACCCAGGCTGTGTGTGTGTGTGTGTGTGTGTGTTCGTTTATATATGGGATCGGATTTCCTACATTTTTCAACCGATTTCAACAAGCTTCTCTTTTTTTTTGACAGGTAGTGTTTCTTATTGTCTTGCACACTTTTTTCTTTATTTTTACATTCAGAATGCTTTAAAAATTCCATTTACAAGACAATCGTTTATAATAAAATTCTATTCAATCGGCAGACTCATAACGATTGAAAACAATGTTTTTGTTTGAGTTTGGGTCTGACCAATTCGTAAAAAAAAAAAAAAAAAAAAAAAACTAATTAAGACATGCGTGTCCGTCAACCTTAAACAATAATCTTTGTCAATTTTATTTTTCAGTCTTTATGATCGTCGATACTTGATCTGTTACTGTTACATTCCCGGGCAACGCCGGGCTCTACTGCTAGTTGATTATACGAGTATACCATTGTTGTGATAAATGTATACAGAAATGTATATATGATATGTAACATATAATAAGCAAGCTTTTCTTCAATAAACAATATTAAAAAAAGAATTGATCACGGCTAGAATCCATGGAAGGCGATTTAAGCGTATGTCTGTCCAAAATTTGGCTAGAATCCTTGGAAAAAGATTTAAGGGTATACTTGTCCAAAATTCGGTTAGAATCCATGGAAGGTGATTTAAGAGCCTGCCTTTTCAAAATTCGGTAACTGTCTTTGGAATGCGATTTAAGAGTACCCCTATATCAAATTCAGCTAGAATCAATGGAAGGCGATATTTGTCTGTCCAAAATTTGGTTAGAATCCGTGGAAGGCAAATTAACAGCATGCCTTACCGAAAATCGGCTAGAATCCTACGAAGGTGATTTAAGTGTATCCATGTCACAAATTCAACTAGAATCCATGGAAGGTGATCTGAAAATATGACTGTCCAAAATTTTGCTAGAATCCTTGGAAGGTGATTAAAGTGTATGCCTATCCAAAATACGGCGAGAATCTATGGAAGACGATTTAAGAGTATGCCTATCCAAAATTCGACTAAAATCCAAGGAAGTAGATTTAATAGTAAGCATGTCCAAAAGTATGCTATAATTCTTGGAAGGCGATTTAACAGTATGTCTGTCCAATGTCGGCTAGAATCCTTGGAAAGCGATGTAAGAATATGCCTATGCAAAATTTGGTCCGAATTCACCGAAGCCGATTTAAGTATATGCCTATCAAAATTCCGACTAGAATTCTTGTAAGATTTAAGAGTATGCCTGTCCAAAATTCGGTTAGAATCATTGGAAGGCGATTTAAGAGTACCCCTGTCACAAATTCGGTTAGAATCATTGGAAGGCGATTTAAGAGTACCCCTGTCACAAATTCGGTTAGAATCATTGGAAGGCGATTTAAGAGTACCCCTGTCACAAATTCGGTTAGAATCATTGGAAGGCGATTTAAGAGTACCCCTGTCAAAAATTCGGCTAAAATCATTGGAACGCGATTTAAGAGTATGCCTACCTAAAATTTGCTTAGAGTGGTTAGAAGAAGATTTATGCCTGTCCACAATTTGGTAAGAATATTTGGACGAAGATTTTAGAGAGTATGCCTGGTAAAAAAAAATAAAAAATAAAAAGCGTCAAGCACAGATATCTCATTAAATGTTGAATTATAATAAACAGAAAAATAAATGTTTTTTTAAAGAATTTTTTAAAGATAATTATTGTCTTTTTATTATAAAATTTAATAAATTGCTTTGTTTATGTAAATAAATCCTAAAAAATATGCACCTTCTTTTTTGCATCATCGTAATTTAAGTGTTTGGCAAATGATTTACTATAGGTTCAAATATGCCATGATATGAAAAGAGATTGAAAAATGTTGCATTAATCTGATGTCATTTTTGCAGAATAGGAAGAAGTACTGTGTTTCTTCCACTTAATATCCGATTACTCCAAGTACGATCACACAATAAGTGAATAATCGTATGACAACTGTGCTTATGCCGCTCTTCCTTATTTCGCACGACGGTTACACCCTGCTAATGCTTCACAAAGTATGGACTATACCGTTTTGATTGCGTGGAAAGAGGTGAACAGTCTCTACTTGCTTTGAGTGGGAAAACGAACGAACGAACGAACGAACGAACGAAAGAAAGAAAGAAAGAAAGAAAGAAAGAAAGAAAGAAAGAAGTGTTTAATGTCCCCTGTCAATACTTCATAAATAATGAACGATTCCGATTTGATTCCGAGGAAAGAGGGGAAAAGACACCACTTGATTTCAGTGAGAAAGCCAACGAAAGAAAAAAGAAAGAAAGAAAGAAAGAAAGAAAGAAAGAAAGAAAGAAAGAAAGAAGAAAAGCAAGCAAGAATGAAAGAAAGAAAGAAAGAAGTGTTTAACGTCCCCTGCCAATACCTCATAAATAATAGACTGTTCCATTTTG